TACGTGTATAGAAAAACAAATAATGGATCGCATCTCTAGCACATATATGTAATGGTGGGAATAAAAAGTAAATTCTGATTATTCCAATAGTAAGGAATAACAAGAATTTACTTTTTATTTCAAACTCCCATGAGAATTTATACAGTTGAAAAAAATATCACATTAATCTAATTATTGTATCCTTAATTTTTATTCATAACAAAAGGTAACGGCAATGTGGTCGGACGCTGGGGATCCAAAAACTTCCACAATGTCAGGAATAAAAGTCCAATTCATGACAGGTCCAGATATTCAGCAAGTTCCATTATTAATTCTTGCAGAAAATTTGCCAAACACCGCAACATCTTTAAATTTTATTGTTCCAGCACCCAGCTCATTAAGATATCCTCCAGGCAAAATTTATTTTTTGATGTTTTCGGACCCTGCAAAACCTGGTGTAGGAGTTAGTTGGAGTACCAGGTTCACTGTGCTTGAAGCTGGTAATAGTAATCCGCCCGCAAATTATACTCCGGGAAGTCCCTGGACCTTCACTAGTAATGTTACTTTCAAAAATAAACTTTTTTTTGATTTATATTTGTAATTAAAATGAATTACTCATAACTATTTAACGATTCAAAGTGTCCCCGAATGCTCCTGCAACACCTACTCCTGTATTTACACCAACACCAACACAACAAGCTCCAGATCCGGCTGCGCTGACTCCTTCTGCAAGTCCATCTCAAGCAACTATGATACCGCAAGAACCTGCGCATAGTGATGTAGCTGCTTCGCCTAGTGACGCATCTGATTCATCATCATCTAAACCCTCTACTACTCCGAAAAAGTCGGGATGTGATAGTAAATTCTCTAAAAACAATGGAAAATTCTTGATTGTTGTAATGAGCTTTATTTGTGTATTTTGGACATATGGGGTGTAGATTCACCTTTCCTTTACCGTTAGGAAATATTTTATATTTTTTCATTTAATTAGTGTTCTTTACTAGAATTAATATTAATAGATTCTATTAATCATGGTGCTAGATTCTAAATTTATTTAAATTAATATTATATAGTAAAAATGTCGAGCTTACATTTCTAAATTAAAACATAACATTCGAGTATGTACGTAAGTACGTACGTATCTTTAAAATATGTAATACAATATGTATAAATTTAATGGATCATTCTGGTGTTGATCTTTTTAATACTGTAATTAACGTTTTCAAATGAGTTCTTTTATGAACTTTGCATGCGTAACGCTCTTGCATAAAGATAACAATGAATTTAGTAAAAGTTGTGTACTGTACGCACGTAAGTATTAACGTGTGTAAGTAGTACATAATACGTACTCATTGGGTTAAACCGAAAGATTAACGTTAACGTAAAGGTTAAAATCAAACTTTATATAAATTTAGGAATTATGACAACTAATACGTACGTATGTATCGATATTGTCATGTAGTTTCTACAAGCCACACTATGTTTACAAACAGTTTAACGTTAACGTTAGCTTAACGTTAACGTTAATGCTAGTTTCATTATTAAAAGAAATGCTTATCTTTATGTTTACGTACGTAAGAATCTATAAATCACAGCCACTAAACACAACTAAATACAATATAGCCACCACCATGAAAAAACCTTTTTACCTTCATCTTTGTGTCTTGTAGTAGTAATTTCTCATTTTATTATCAAAACAACTTACAAAAATTGGTTGTAAATAATAATAATCTAAAATGGTTAAACGTTCAACAATTATAAAAACTTCAAATATATTAGCATACCTTTTGTTTCTTGTTGTAAGCATTCTTTGGGAATTTGGTTTTAAACAGGTAATGTTAACGTTGGTGAAAATTTATGCTGTTCTATATTATTTAATATTAATCTAACTTTCTTTAGTTTTTAATTTTTTATTTTGATGAAAACTTAGTATACATCTCCGAACAATCATGCTGCAATGAATACATATATTGGTCCTGCTTTTTTCACTTATTATATTTGGGCTATTATTCATCTTTTTCTTGCTGGATTTGGTAAATAATAATAATATAACAATAATACTTAAATTATGTATAAAATTCTTTTTTCGATTAATTCTTGCATATTTCAAATTTAGTCATATATCAAGTCTTTGAAATTCGTGAAGAAATACTTGTCAATGCCATTCAATGGTACTTTGTTGGTGTTACATTACTTAATACTCTCTGGTTGTCTTTATGGGTATTACTTCTTCTTATCACTATACATATACAGTATATTTAGTTTTACTTCATTATACATATTTATTATTAATACTTTTATTTTATACATTTTTACTAATAGCATGAAGAATTAATTATTATATCATGGTTAGTGATACTAGTAGTTGCTGTGCTAATTTCTGCTATATATTGGAATCTTAAAGAAAAATTTGGTCCTAAAGACAAATATGAATTGTTATTCATCCATATTCCATTTTCCCTTTATCACGCTTGGATCTTTGTCTTAGTAATCTTTACCACTTTTACTTCATTTACTCCTTCTAAACCTAATGTTGATGATGAAGGTCCAACCATGGTAGTTCTAGTTTTGGTAATAATAGGATTAATTCTTATGGAAGTTATTGCTATTATTTATATTGAGAGATTTAAAGATGTAGCTGGTGCTGCAATCATTGCTTGGTCTCTATTTGGAATAGCTGTTGAACAGACGGATATATTTAGTCATTGGATTGCCTTAGCTTTGATGGTTGTGTGTACTTTACATATTTTTAAACCTCTTATTATGAAAATGATTCGCAAAGATCGCAGTTCATTTTTTTCATATAAATGAATTAAACCAGATTATGTATCATTATGTTTGATTTATTACAAAATATCTTATATATAATTGTGCTAAAAATAATTTTGTCAATTATTGATTTAAAAAAAAAAAAATAATACATTTTTTTTAAAAATGAATTACCTAACTTTTCGGACACTATTTCGTTGTCCTTGGAATTTCGATACAGAAACAGAGATGTGGCTTCCGAAAAGTTAGGTGATTCTTAAAACGAGATCGATGAGGTTTCCGAAAAGTTAGGTGATTCTTAAAACGAGATCGATGAGGTTTCGGGAAACTAGTAAATTTTTTAGGTATCCCAAATTTATGAAAAACATGACCAGGTTGGTCGTTGGATTATCGGGTACACAGTTAACCAAGTTTGGATCCCTCCTATAAACTTAATGTTAATATCTTACAAAAAAAAATTTCTTAAAACTCTGATTAAATTAATTGGTAATGCCAAGAAAAATATATCGATAAATTAGAAATTTGAATTACACTCAACTTTATACAACACATTAAATTGATAATGCCAAGAAAGATCTATCGATAAATTAGAAATATGAATAAGGGTAGCTGCGCGACATAGTAGCGCTTAAACCATGACTTTTTTAAAAAAAAAATTTTTTTTTTTAGCTGTAGCTTTAATTTAATTGTATTAAGAGAGTTAATTAGTTGTTTTATTTAATTATTTTTGTTTCTATTTATTCTGCTTCTTTCTATTTTTTTTATTTTGTTCTATTTTTATTTTTATTTTTTTTAGAAAAAATTTGCGTAACTTCGCTTGATATACATGCTGTGTCAATATCCATCGTTTAAAGTGTCTTTCTTGATGTTTCGAAATCAATTACTGTAAATTTTAATAAATCATGATTCAAGAACGCCAATAGGTCGTTCTAAATCCGTCTATAATATGTTTCAGTCCAAAGTATTCATTCATGTATATTTATACGTTCTCGTACATACTAGTGATGTGCTCATGCGCATGAGAATATTTCGGAATCTCATAATTTTTAGCAGCAAGCTATTATAATGCAGGCCAGAATTCCATGCGCATGATGCATGAAATTTGATTTGCCCATCACTAGTACATACAAATTTCATTATATTTTATACATTCAACCATCACTCAATCATATTACCGACAGTTAACCATACACTCGTAAACGTTCCTGGTATTACACTCAACTTTATAAAAGCATTTATGGAGTATTTTGCTATTCTATATAAAAAAAGTTTATTATAGAAAGGGTTTGCTATAAAGGATTTTTTTATAAAGTTGAGTATATACTAGTGGAATTCCTAATCCAGACTCATACTTGCACATGGACTTCCACAGGGCTTAGCATTCGATTTGGCTCCATTAGGTTACAGTAGCAAATTCAAAATTTGCTGCCAGCCAACTCGAACTATTGACCTTGTCTGTGGAGGTTAGGGAGCTTAACCAATAAGCTACAGGGCCCAAACCCTGTTACATTACAATACATTTGTTAAATACCCTAAAATTAGAAAAATTTAACTGATACCGACCTTGACTATAATGTCATTATATATAAATTTATTTGTTTAACTAAGTACGCCAAAATGGGTTAAATAGTGGGAAGATGAGTTAGACGCGTTATCAAGGTTTGGCTATGTAATAAGTAATTTGCTAACTAAAATTTAAACTTGGAGACAATTACTCAATTTGACGACCAAATGTTTAGCTTAATTTGACAAATACGTCGTACTGAATTATGGAGAAAAACATAAGAATTCTAAAAAAATTTCATATTACGTGTATGGCACTCTTTTTTCTGATTTCGTTTGATTGAAAGCTATCTGTGAGAACCGTTTCGAAACAAAAGCTACGCTTCATTTTTTGCAAAACTCTTATATAGTTGGTAATAAACTTAATAAATATTATCACGGGAGAAATTTGAAGCACAACTGTAAGATGAATTAATACAAAGAAAAATGGGTTAGATAACTCGCCAGAGGTGTGACTGGTGATTTTGGATGTTTCTTTACAATTTTATATAGTGATCCGTACGTGCTCCTTCTCGCACATAAGAGTTGTAACCGACCAATCTCGATATTACGTCCTTTAACTTCTTATAATTAAAAGCATTGACTATGCTTTCTTAATACTTTCACCTGAGGCTTCACTTAGAATTCAATACACTACCACGCGTATCTTTCGTTGAGAGCGTTTTAACTTCTCGTTTATTCGGCCGACTATTATCATTTCGACCATCAAGCCTCAAGTTCAAGTGCATAACCGAAAATTCAAATCCTCGACCTTGGTGAAGTCTTAATTTCTTTATTAATTGAATGTTTGGCACAGTTACGTTAGAGTATGTGATTACGCTGATAAATTGAGGTAGTGTTGTCACGGGACAGCTCTGGACAAATTGTGGACAATTGTGGACAATTTTGAACCAAAAAAAACAAATCTAATAACTCAAAATTTTTATTAAGATAACCTATTTTAATCTTTTAAGTAAAAATATTCAGAATTATAAAAAATATATCATATCTTTTTTAAACTAATTTATTAAAATTTAAAGTCTAAATATTCTTTGGACAATTGTGGACACTGTTGACGTTTGAACGTGGACGTGGGCAAAAAAAGTCTTGGACATAGTAGACGTGACAACACTGAAGTGAGGTCAATTATGCGGTGGATGCGATATAATTATGTGATTGTTAGGCGATTTTTTATAATAATTTTATTTTTATTTCTCGGAATTGATCGTTAAATCGGATCATCACTCCTGCCCAAATTTTCTTGATGCCGGACAATTTTAGTATTACAATTTTTTTTTTTTTTTGGATTTTTTTTGTAATTTAAGTAACCTGATTGGCTGTCATCTGCGAATCAGCCAATCAGATTACTCAGATTACAAAAAAAAAAAAAAAAAAAAAAGTTGTGGAATTCACGGGGATTCGAAAAATATGTCATAAGGCGAAGTAAATGCATTGATTCATCCGTAATATTTTATTCGCGTTTTTAGTAAGTTAAGCTACCCGAGATCACTAAAAGAAGTATTGTAAACCGTATGAATTACGATATTGACATATTCGTTTATGTTATTATGTTGATGCATCAAAAAAGAATTTTTCATAGTCAAAAAGCACTTTGTATTACATAATGCGTAAAAAAGTTAAAAGTCCGTCGCTACGCTCCAGATAATAATTATGAGCATATAACCTAATTGACATAAAAGAATTTGGATACGTTTCATATCACCGACAATTCATTTCACCGACAACAATTCACCGACAAGTTTATTTCACCGACAACTATTTCAACGACAGCCCATTTTACCGACAAGTTTTTTTAAAAAATTGCACTAACCTTAACTCTAATCTGACCCTAACGAAAATGACCAGAATTACTTTGTCGGTGAAATGATTGTCGGCGAAATAACTGTCGGTGGAATAAACTTGGCGGTGAATTGACTGTCGGTGAAATGGGCTGTCGGTGAAGTGATTGTCGGTGAAATAAGCACCACCCAAGAAGGGAAATTTGACCAAAATAGACACAAGTAACGCAATAGGAGCACCGGTGGCGCCCCATTTTTGCTTGTAATGCATTATTTAAACATTGTGAATCATGTTTTTATCTACATCATACATATATCAGATATGTATTTGTATATATTGTATTCACAAGATCGCAGTGGTACAATTTTTTTGTATTTGTATCGATTTGCGTAAATAAAAACAAATTCGGATTTTCATGCAAACTCAATACAAGAGTATAAAAGAATTATTAGCGTTAGGAGATATCTAAAAAAGAATAAACGTAAAAAAGTTAAATACCATATCTGATACCGTATGACAAAATTATTATACGTATATTGTCACGGGTAAAGTGAATCGCGACCACGAGGTCGTTGCACAACGTAGTACGATCGTCGATAGTGCCCAGTACTATAGATGGGTGACGAAATTATTTTCGCAATGACGAAATTTATTTTCATAGTGACGAAATTGACGAAATATTTATTTTGTTAAATTTCGTCAATTTCGTCACCCATCACTACCCGGTACTCTATAGACGCATGCAATCGTGATCGAGTCGAAAATGAACGAAACATGCCTCTCAGCAAACAGATAATTGAATGACCAACGCATATAACCAAATCGAGAATAGTTCATAATTGAAAAGCCCAGGCTTCAGAATGGCGACACAGTGAACAATCGGATAATGTAAAACGGTGGGAAAATCTAGAATAGAAAAACAAATTAATTAGCAGTGTTAGCAATATATAAAAGCGCATGTAATGTAAGAAATTACTTAACTTTGGTGGTGCCCAGGAAGGGCTAATGACCATAATAAAGAACCCGTTAAAAGATACAAGTTGTTAGTGAAATAACCATAAAGTAGTTAGAAGAATATACTCGCCAAATTGTAAACGCATCAAGTAGAGTGCCATCTAATTTTGCCCTTTACAATATCTTTAAAAAACATGAACAAGGAAAATTCAACTGAATTTTTAACTCTTTTTGGGTATAATTATGAACATGGTATCGGAGTAGAAAAAGATGAGAAAAAAGCGTTCGAATACTATAAAAAATCTGCAAAAATGGGGGATGCTGATGGAACAAATAGTGTTGGAAATGGAATCGGAGTTGAAAAGGATGAATATAAGGCATTCATTTATTTTCAAAAATCTGCAGCGATGGGGGACGCTGCGGGAACAAATAATGTCGGAGAATGTTATCAAAATGGAATTGGAGTTGAAAAGGATGAACATAAGGCGTTCATTTATTATCAAAAATCTGCTGAAATAGGGGATGCTGACGGAACATATATGGTTGGGCATTGCTATCGAAATGGAATTGGAGTTGAAAAGGATGAACATAAGGCATTCACTTATTATCAAAAATCTGCAGAGATGGGTGATGTCAATGGAACATTTCAGGTTGGACGATGCTATTTTTATGGAATTGGAGTTGAAAAGGATGAACATAAGGCATTCATTTATTTTCAAAAATCTGCTGAAATGGGGGATGCTAATGGAACAAGGGGTGTTGGATATTGTTATGAAAATGGAATCGAAGTTGAAAAGGATGAACATAAGGCATTCATTCATTATCAAAAATCTGCAGATATGGGTAATGCTGTTGGAACATGGAATGTTGGATATTGTTATCGAAATGGAATTGGAGTTGAAAAGGATGAACATAAGGCATTCATTTATTATCAAAAATCTGCAGAGATGGGAGACGATATGGGAATCAATTATGTTGGATATAGTTATCTTAATGGAATTGGAGTTGAAAAGGATGAACATAAGGCATTCATTTATTATCAAAAATCTGCAGAGATGGGGAATGCTAATGGAACAAATAGTGTTGGAGAATGTTATCAGCATGGATTTGGAGTTGAAAAGAATGAACATAAAGCATTCATTTATTATCAAAAATCTGCTGATATGGATAATGGTGAAGGATTATATAATATGGGTAATTGTTATCTAAAAGGAATTGGAGTTGAAAAGAATGAACATAAGGCATTTATTTATTATCAAAAAGCCGTTGATTTGGGAAACATTAATGGATTTCATATGATTGGTCATTGTTACAGAAATGGAATAGGAATAGAAAGGAATTTACAAAAAGCCAATTATTGGTTTAGAAGAGAAAGAAATAAATTTTCAAATACAATTAAATCAACATATGAAAATCTAAATATTAATGAAAATTTAAAAAAAATATTGAGAGAAAATAAATATCAATTATCTTGGATTCCTTATTCGGAATTTGAAATTATCGAAGAGATTGGAAAAGGTGGATTTGCTACCGTGTACTACGCTAAATGGTCAAGAGTAACTATTTATAATTCTAATTTGATTTCTGTTGCTTTAAAAATAATCCATAATTCGAGCATTCAGATCCAGGAATTTATAAATGAGGTGTTTGTTTAATATTTATATTCCACTAAGAAAAAACCACAATTTAGAATTTTAAATTTATAACTTATTGGACTTAACCTGTCGCTATCAAATTCTTAAGGATTGAATTCGGTAACGATGAGTTATAAAATTAAAAATCTAAAGTGTGATTTTCCCTTAGCGGTACTCAACACATTATTTATTCGGTATATTCATTTATTTATTTATATTATTGTAGTTGAAAGCATATAGCGAAATCGGATTCAACAATCCTTCTTTTTTACAATGCTATGGAATATCACAAGATGAAAAATCAAAGGATTATATAATTATTTTAAAGTATGCAGAAGCTGGATCTCTGTATAAAAATATTGTTAAGGTATCACAGATGAAATGGAAAGATAAATTAAATTTATTAAATTGTATCGTATCTGACCTTGAAGCCATTCATTCGGAAGAGTTATCTCATCGGGATTTTCACAGTAAAAACATTTTACAAGATGATTTACGTAGTGCGTATATCGCTGATTTAGGTCTTTCTACATCAGCTAGTATAAAACAAGAGGATCAAATTTATGGAATTATGCCATACGTTGCTCCAGAGGTTCTACAAGGAAAACCTTTCACACAAGCTGCTGATATTTATGGTCTTGGCATTATTATGACAGAGATAGCGACTGGAAAAAGAGCATTTGACGGTATACCTTTTGATACTAGACTTTCATTAAAAATTTGTCGAGGTGAAAGGCCAGAATTTAATGAAGGAATTCCAGAATGTTACATTACATTGGCTGAACGATGCATGGATCCAGATCCAAAAAAACGACCAATAGCTACCACCATCATTAATTCAAAAATTGTTCATTGGCTTGACGAGATGGAACAAGATAATAATAATGAAATTAAACGTCAATTCTCAGAAGCTGATAAGGTCAATTTAAAACAGATTAAGCCTAAACACCCTGAACACCCTGAACACATGTATACAAGTAAACTAATTAACACGCAAGAAATAACAAATCAATTATCAAGTTTGATGATTTCTGATGATCTTTAACCGTAAATATCGGATCATCCAAATTTTTTTTATCGTATTCTGATCAAATTAGGCTTCCTAAAATTGGATTTTTTACACATAAAATACGTATCAAAATTCTATTCATGCAATCTTATTAATAACAATATAAGATCTTTTGTGTTTTCAATTGATCTTGAAGGCAACATTAGTGGTTACTGTTAATGTGGTAAACAGACTAAGTAATAAAAATCATTTACGTTATTAATTATGGAATATAGCACTTAACTTTATTCGTGAAATTTCAAGAAAATTTTTATCACATTAATAATAAATGATAATTGAAATAAATCAATTAGCGTCTGGTGATCTTTAATTAGAGGCTTTGTGTAATATTATATATTGCTCTCACAACATTATCAAGATTTTACTTGTTATAATTTTTAAATATTTATTAAATTTATATTTATTACTTTTCTTGTTACTTTATTAATAGTTTTAAACAATTCCGTCGCAACATACAATAATGTTGGTTCTTATTATAAGTGTTGTAATGTCTACTGTATAAATTTATTTTTTATACAATGTAATTTTGTAACCTATTATCATTATTACATATAGAGTATTACTGTATTTTAAAGCTATGTAGGTGTCGCCGCACTTTAGTTACACAAGGTTATACTTGTTCTTTTGGCTTTTCAGTCAGTTTCTGTATTCCTTTTATTAGATAAAATGCTTGTGACTTTATATATCTGCTAGATGTTTGTCATTAAAACAACACTCTTGCAACCACAAAAATAAACACATTATTACCAAATATGTGGACCACATCAACAATTTTTTCAAAAAAAATTTTTTTTGTGCATTACTAATTAAACATTAACACATAAACAATTTTCATATTGTGAAAAGTATCCCGGTACTAATCAAGTGGTAATTTATTACGTTATCAATGATCATATTATACGACCAACTCACATGATCATTTTACTCTCTTCAATATGGGTAATTCAGTAATTATTGTTGAACCCGGACCAATTTTATATATGACGTAATAACATTTTGGTCTGAATTCAAAAATAAATACCCATATACCTTCACACAGTATCCCGGGCATATTATTTAATTTCTTGTAAAAGACAGTGGATACTATATGCAACGCTATACGGTAGCCCATGTATGCATTCACTTAAAATAAAAATTTCCAATCAGTTAACTTTGATGCATGTACGTACGTACGTCATATTTAATCTTTCATTTAATTAACGGCAATACAAAAGAGTAAAATCATAAAATAAACTGGAGATAATCCAATAATATACATGTTATTTATTAATACTTGTGAGAATTTGACACTACCATAATGACATTAATTCTACATTAGGAAGTCCTACTATTATTTTTTTTCATCAGTAAGAGACGCATCCGTTTTAACAGAAGGTAATAATGAAGTATCAATATAGAATTGAAGAAATTTTTCTAAGTTATCGAGTCGTTTTAGTATTGAAGCATTTCCATGTTCTTTGATATCAGATTTTTCTTCGGTATCAAGTTCGTCGGATGATGAATCCGCCGTAAATGGCAAGAGGGTTGTTTCATATTGTTTTCTGAATGGTTTCAATTTTTGTACAAAACCCCATGGAGAGAATAAACCAAGTCCTAAAAAAGTTTTTTAAATAAAATAGTATGAGTCAATTATTCAACCGTAACTGAATTTAAAACATACAACTTACCAAACAAAAATACGTAAAAACCGAAAATAGGACCCCAAAAGCCGCCCAGTGCACCTAGCATGTTTAAAACCTATTTGTCCAAAATAATGATCGTTACTAAACATTTCTCTGTTTAGTCTAAAAGAATGTTAAAAGTTAATACATATAACTACTTACATTTTTGCTCCTATTATTATCATTAATTATAAAATTGTTAATAAGTAATGATAAAACATCGACAAAGCGGATTTGTTTATTTTACTTTTGCTCTCTTTCTTCCTTTATAACATTGTTAGGTGTTACAAAAAACTGTAATTTTGCATAAAATGTGTCGTTGTTTATCTCTGCAATTATTAATCAATGATAATTTTAAAAATTTTAAAAAGCAAATAAATAGCATAATTAATAGAAATATTCTTACGGGCAGGCATAGCCGTAGATGGAAATGGGACAGTCTCTGTAATTAGCGTTAGTGAGATATAATCTTAATAGAATAATCTTAATATTTTTATTAATGGAATTTCATAATTAACGAAATTGTATTTCTTGAAATATTAAGTAAAAAATAAAATAAAATAAACTAAAACTAAAGCACACCAGTAATGCTATGATCGCATGACGAGGATTACCGTAAATTCTCGAAATAACGGGCCTCTGCGCGTTATTTTGAACACTTGCGCGTTTATTTCAAATATACCCATAGGCATTATTTTTGAATAACAAATTTTTCTAATCGTGTATAATCTTTATAACTTACATAATAAGTCTGTAACCAACTATAATATTTCTAAGGTGGTTAATTTTCGAAACAACACCTATGCACGTTATTTAGGCCGCTTGCAGTTGATTCTTTGGATAACATCACCCCCCCTCAGTTGAAGTCTCCCCTGAAAAATGAACAACCAATCAAAACGCTGGATGACTCTCGCCGTTCACTTGATTTATATCGACCAATGAAATTGGCCCATATTTGTTCATTTTTATATGTTCGTTTCATTTTACCCCCTCCCCCCCCTCCTGGGAGTCCTAGAAAGTGATGTTAACCAAGGAATCAACTTCGAACGGCCTTAGGAAATTTACGGTAACAATCTTCTTATTACCGTAGAGCATTGCCCAAAAGACCCGGTGTCTAATACAAAATACCCATCAAAAAACTTACAAAAGACGCGGGTGTATTATACTGCAGCAGACCTGTGTCGCAAGAAAGAAAATTTTCAAGTATATACATATTCCGCATTTACAATGAGCAGTTTAGAATTTTAAAACCCCATATTTAATTAAGAGATCTCATGTTTTGCGCCAGAGTATTTTCATGGGGTACTCGAAAGGGGGTCTTTTAGGCAGTGTTCTACGGTAGTTGTCTCCTTGAATGATGTACTGTAAATCAAATTGAACGACAAAGAAATGTCATCATGTCATATAAAATGATAAATAAAACATTTGTTCCACCGTGTCGAGGAAATAATTGAAATATCTCCCTAACAGCAGACATATAGGCGTAAGTGCACCACATATCTACTGGAAGGATACTTCATTATTTCTGCTGACCTGGGAGACCAAAATTTTTATTATAATTATGAAATATCCTAATATAAGAGTCCTTACGTATATTTGATTCGATATAAGGCTGTTGAGAATATCTTGGTCTACCAAAGTAGCTTAAAAAATCCGGAATTATATTATACCTGATCGTTCTAGTAAATTTCCAAAAGTATACCTATAATTTTTTTTTTAACATGTGTAAATTTGCAAACTCACAATTTTCAAAAATTATTAAATATACATACAATTCTGTCACTTTTAGGTTGTGATAAAAAATACGCATTTTTCGTAGTAAGTGATAGATCATACGGAGTAAGCATTGATTGATCACGTAAATTAGGATCATATTCTAAATCATTTATTTATTTTCATATTATTGCTACCCAACTCATAAGCACAAAGATATGTCTTTATTTTAAAAAAATCTTGCCTTTATCATATGCAAGCATCAGCACAGAAAAATTTTGGTTGGAACTGTTATATGCTGGATCCACGATAAATATATCAAGATCAATAATTGTTGTTTCCGTACTAGGTGTTACATTGTAATCTGGTAAAAATGCTCCAGAATAAGGACGAGAAGGCGAAGCATCATATATAGTGTTACTGATATAGTTGCTACAATTATAAGATTCTAAAAATAATTTATTACGTGCTTGGCGTAAAAACCATAGTAATAATAATGAAATACTCACCTGAGGTTTCTGTGCCATTAGTCAAAGTACATACGATGGTAAAATTACTTTCATGAAGAAAATAGATATCTACATGAATTTAAAAAATTTTCACGTTATATATATATAATCTTATTTAAAGTTTATTATTTTTGACAATTTTATTACTTGGTAACGGCATTCTATCAGTTGTGGTGAAAGCCGTACTGATATTAGGACGTTCATTACGTATTTCGAGGCATAATGAAACAAGTATAGCAATAAATAATCCTGCGGATATGATAATAACAAAAAGTCGAAAAAGTAAAAGCGATTTTGGGTCGTTTTTGTATATTTTTCTAAGAAAATTAAGCATTTTTATTTAACGTTATGATCCTTTATTTTCTCTTTATTTATTATGGGAAACATTCCCGGCTGCTCTAACATTCTTTAAATAAACAATTTGTGGTTTTACAAACTTTCGCGAAATTTGATCTAAATTTGATCAAAAATATCAATGAATTGGACATTAAATGGCTTATTCTTTAAATGCTTAATACGAGAAAATTTTTCCTTTCTTGTTCATAGAACTTGATTAAAAAGTGATATCAACTGACCACTAGACATTTTTCTAGAAATTTTGATTGATGAATAGATGTAACGTATGTGAATGAATATTTTTAAAAAGGATTCTTTTTTCCTAATTTAAAACAAACTCCAGGTCTCAGGAAACATAAATACATATTAGCCTAAAGTTTTTTCCGAAAGTTATCCACTCGTATTACGTATTATATCATAAATAGTGATTGGACCCGGGTGGTCACCCACCCGGGTCACCCGTTCACCCGCGGGTAGGGATGTTAAAAGTCCGGTCCGGTCCCGACTCGACTCCAGGAGTCGAGTTTTAATTTTGACTCGGTCCCAAGT